TTGATGGTTCTTCAGTGACAGTGGTTTCATCAGTGGTGGAGCCGATTGTTGTTGTTGATGGTTCTTCGGTTACCGTAGTTTCATCAGTAGTGGATCCACCTGGAATTGTTGATGGTTCTTCAGTGACAGTGGTTTCATCAGTGGTGGAGCCGATGGTTGTTGTTGATGGTTCTTCGGTTACTGTAGTTTCATCAGTAGTTGATTCATCTGGAGTTGTTGATGGTTCTTCAGTGACAATGGTTTCATCAGTGGTGGAGCCGATTGTTGTTGTTGATGGTTCTTCGGTTACCGTAGTTTCATCAGTAGTGGACCCGATTGTTGTTGTTGATGGTTCTTCGGTATCCGTGGATTCGTTAGTGATGAAATTATTTATTATTTCCGGCAAAATGGGGTGTTGCAGATGGATATTTCTCTTAGTTTTGGTTTTAGTAAGAAAGCTGCAGAAAATTATTTGTGAATATTTCTCTTTATAGTTATCACAAGCATTTTCATCGATTGAGGCATCTATGCACTTTTTTGCTGACTTCAATTCTTTTCCTAAAATTAAATTATATCTTTTTTGGACGTTTTAAAGTAATTTTATGTAAAGTACAAGGTCCGGCATACTAGAAATAATGCTTTTCTTTTTGAGTTTTAGAGGGAAAATTGATATCTTCACTCAGTAGACATTTTCTACTTACCATCGATATAAATAACTCGTAAACATTTTAAATCCGATGAGTTAATGATTGTATTATAGTCACATGGGCAATCAATCGATTGATAAATATCGGTTGAACCTGAGAACAAAGGAGAAAATCTAATTATTATATCCATGTATAATGTACCATTAAATTGCTAGTAAAATGCAATGGGCAATGAGGCACGGCTGATAGTTTTAAAGTGTGGCTTCTAAAATTGTTAGAATACATGCAGAAAGCAATTTTATTGAACTTGACTTGAAACACGTATTTCCAAAACACTGCTTAACTATTTTTGTTGATGATATAGATTAAAAGCCAGGGTGGAAGCATTTAGGAAATGTAAATGTATAAAGCAGTAAGTGAAGCAGCTGTGTTTAATACCTGTCACATATTTTTATTTCTTTAGCTGAAATCGTATAAAAGTGTTCCAGACGCACTGTTTTAAATGTAAGCTGTTTTTGGAAAGCAGCAGAAATGCAGGATTTAAAAACATATTTTGTCGACATAATTCAAGGTTTAATAATAAGTATTTTTTTGAATAGTAGTTTGAGCAGTAGTCGGTAACAATACGACATTTTTGTAATTAATTTGTAATCATCGTATCCACGATTTGTTCCGTAAACCTCATATAAGCTTTAATATCAACTTATCACTTATCTATTTAAAATATTCTGAAATGTGCATCTCATGACTTATATGATATTGTAGATTAATTAGATTAATGTTAAAGATAAGAAGCACACCTTAATTGTGGTTGGGTATTCTCCTTTTAGATATGATAGTTACAATTCTTATTTGAAAAAGGATATAATGTAAAATTGGAAACACATTGTGCATACAAAATTGTTGCATATTTAACATCCACCGGTTTAACTATATGCGAGAGTTTAAATTTACATATACAAGAATGGAGGAAAATTTCAGAAAAATTTGATTCTGTCTTAAACATAATATATTTAAAATACAAAAACTTTTTTGGTTCAAAAATTCCCTATTGTTCGAAGTAATTGGAGAGTAATCGGAACAAATTAATAATTCTTTAATGTTTCAATATATAAACTAATTGATTTATGATTTTCGATTATATCGAATGAAATAATTATATAAGCCTCTTCTTTGCTACATTAAATTATGGCTCTTACAAGAACAATTTTATCAATTATCAAAATATGAAGTAAATATAGTAAGCGTGGAACATTGATTTCTATTTTACATTAAGTTAAGTAAAAAAATTGTAAACCCATTAATTAATTTTGTATGCAAAACACCTTTTATTCTTTGGTTCTTTGCAGACTTTTTCAATTATGATTGTGTATTCGACTAAATATTCAAATTCTATGTTTACAGATTGTTTTTCACAAGTTAGAAAGCAAGTATGCCCTAGGGAAAAACACTTTTTTGTAAAGCTCTGCCCATGCTAAATATAACGTTTGCAATCATATTTAGTAGTAAACGAAATATGGTATTTATATTTTCGAGCTGTATGTTCTCATACTAGACTAATTATCCTTATCAAATTTTGCCTTCGAAGCTTAAGAAATAAAACTAAATTACATTCAGAGTATAATCTCATTGACACACTTGAATTTGCTGGAATTAATAATTTGGATGAAATGTTGTTGAGGAATGTTAACGTTGTTGCGGGTAATTACCTACATAACGTATTTAGGATCTGAGCGACATATTTAGTAGATCACAATTATCGCATTGTTTTAAATGTCCGCTTAAAAATAACCAAAATTTAAGGCCCGAACCTCCTTGGAAGGAATAGGTCTAATAACGTTTTGCTTACATAAAAAAACATATTCATATTTTCTTTCTGGTAACATCACACAGAAGACGAGACTTTTTAGGCCAAAAGTTTACGTATTTTTTATTTATTTCTGCAGTTTTAATACTTTTGTGTCACTAAAATTGTTACTTATATGCACCCAAATGAGTTCAAGCAATTCTTGTCTTTCAGTATTTTTTTTCTACAAGTCGATTAGATTAAAAGATGTTAATCATGCTTGTCGCAAATAATACTTCAGAACGAGATTGGCGCAGTTTAAATATTACAATTCCATGAAGCAACTACATCTAAGGACATATTGCAATTATATTCGGGTCGCAGATCTAAAATTAAATGCGTTTCATTGTTTAGTATAAAATCTTATTTATAAAGATTACAAAGTATACTTTTTAAGCAATTGATCGAAGAAGCGTTAGCAAGGTAAAACATGTGAAGAAAAGAGCATTATTTCTGCAAAGTGGTCATATCATGTTTCGGTAAAATTGGTAAACTGAAAAACCTCACCCAAAACTGAATCAATCCGGTAGATTTACTCCCAGAAATTATTTGGATTTTGAAACACCAATTCTTTCTTTGGCAATAGTGCGTACAGGTGTTATCTAACTTTGTGTAATGACGCAAAAATTCTTAATAATACAATAATAATATAAACATTAATTCTACCTGTCCAAGTAGAACAAAACATGATAAATAGTAATCCAAATAGCTTCATTTCTCATATTCAACTGAACTGTGTAAGTACTTATTAAGGTAACCGACTTTGCCAATTTACCAGTATACACTCGAATGTTTTATCGCGAGTGTTGAGCTAACTAAGGCTCATTTACAAAGAAATTACTAAAATTTTACAAGCAATTGCATTTTGAGATATTAAGTTATCTTGAGCGATAACGAATTATTCAATTGAACAAAAATGTGTTAACATTGTTAAATTGTTTGATAGTGGTTCAATACAGTATGGATAATAAGAACACTCGAATTTTGTGTAACGATTTATTTCGCAAATGCCCAATTTTTGGCTACAATTCTTAGTAATCATTAATCAAAATATACGACTGAAGTAAAATAGCTTGATAACACTACCAAATATTTGGACAGGTAACAATTAAAAGAGAGTGAAAAATTCACCAGTAATAAATTTTATTATGTTTTCTCTGCTATATGCGTATCTGACGCACCAATTAGGATAACTATTTTTAAGATTTATAGATTTATATATTCACTTTTCGTGAAAACTGCTATTTTACTACTGGTCCAAAGAAGCTGTTTTATATTTTTAGGTTTTTTAAACACATTTGTGGTATAGAAGGTATTTCTTGCAAAATTAGCATTCATACAGGGGGATTCCTAGCTATAGGTTCAAACAAATGGCGATTTTCCAGTACAGCAATACGAGACATTTGATTTTAAGAACCAATGTCCGAAAATGCCCCGTTAATGAGGAATACGGTCTTATACCGCTTAGATCGTTATGTGCAAAATATGTTATCTAGTATTTTAATTTAGTTGTACATAAAAACACTTATAGAATTGCTATTGTTCAAAGTGTGGTCCTTGGACGTGATTGCACCTGTTCCAAACATGGTTCATAGTTTCTGCGGACTCAACTGATAATTTGATAGTTGTTCTGATTAATCTGAAACATCACACAGATTCTATGTTTCGACTAGCGCTGCATAAACAATAAGCTTTACGTGTCCTCACAAAGGAAAACTAAATGTCTTAGACCTTAAAGGTGTCCTAGGGGATCACGACACCTTTTCTGCTCGCATCCAATGTTGTCCAAACATTGGATCCAAACAGAAGAATTTTTAAGACGTTTTGGCAGGATGTATTGTAGAAAACATCCGCAGATTAACGATGATGTTATGGCCCAACCAATTGGTCCTCAACAGTGCCAGTCCACATATTACGAGCAAGTATTGACTGCAAATTTTCTTCCGCCCAAACAAGTTTTTTTCTGCTGTTTAATATGAAATGTCGTGTGAAATTGGCTTCATCGGTCGATCAAAAACAACGTTTTGCTCCACTATCGGTTGACACAGGAAGAAGCCATTCGAAGAAGTGTTCGCCAAGGTCCTTCTGGAGCTCGGTGAATAAACTCTACCTCAAAATGACCCATTCTTACTGTTCTTCTTGTACCAATATTCCACCTATAAGTATTCGATTAATTGCAATGAACTTTTTGTATCCAGGCAATTGCCTGGAAATAAACATGTATCAAAAAAATTTGACTAGTGCAGGGCTTCAATTAAGATAAAATTAAATTGAAATAAAACTCACTAAACCTCGAAAAAACACATGTAGCGTGATACGCAGACATTTTCACACATGGTTTCTTTTTATTGATTTTCTGGGGTGAAAATATGATGATTTAACACAACTTACCTTAGTCCGAAAGTTGACGGTTGCCGACATACAGGGCGTCAAAGTTACATTTTAATTTCAGTTTTTCGTTATTCTACTTTGAACGGAGCTGCATATTTTAACGAAATTTGGTATACAGGGGTTTTTGAGCATAAGAAATCCAAATGTCCCATCAGATTTTGATCAAGTTGTAGAAAAAGCCACTTGCGGCGATATCCAAAAAACGGTTTTAACTTTTTTGTCACCCGGTATTCTGACCTCTGGTAAAAGACCAAGGTAAAACTGGAACGTTGTAACCCGTTACAGAAAAATGACCTGTCACACCTATTTTCAAGCATGGAAATAACATTTTTCCGCAATTTGGAAAATTAAGGCATAATCTATTTACTTAACACGTTTTCATGTTAATTTCTCGTTCCCTGTTTCTCTTTGCTTAACCCTTTTCTCGCAAGGGTCAATATTTCTAGTATTTATATAATTTGCAAAATATTTCAATCAAGATAATTGATTTTTCTAATATTATGTGAAATTAAGCTTAACTGTGATTCATTATCCATCAATCATTCGCTCATCGAGAGCGACATACTTAAAATGTTGTTCAAATCCGAGCAATAAAAATATAATTTATGGCGATCTGAAATTTATTGATAATTGGAAACATGATGAAGAAATAAATGACGCAAAATAAGACGTAGAATTATGCGATATGCATCCCACAACAATGAGATCGGTGAACTTTGGGTTATTACTGTTCTTTTCTTTTAAAAAGTGTCTGTTGCTGCAAAACGTAAACTGGTTAGTATGCATTTTTGAAGAGTTTGTCAATTTAAATGCAAATCTTCTGGGCCCGAGAGCGCACTTCAAAATTTAAATAAACGAGAAGATAAGTCGTACTTATCAACCTCACACTGATTTCGTTTGTCGTAACAAAGACTAGAATATTTCAACCTTGGCAAAGTCAGCAAGTTTTCACAAAAAGCCCATTTTTTTTAAACGGGTCTGCTCCTTTCCTCATAGGATTTTAAGTGCACCTACTTTTTCCACAGCATTTAAAATGATTTAATATGCAATTAATAATAAAATGCAATTACGATGATTTTTTCCAGCGTCCTGTTTAAAGTAATGTGTTAATTAAGGGCCTCAAAAGTGGATCTTTGACGGGTCCTCGAATGAAATGGTAATTTTTAAAGTGAACGTTAAAATTTAAGGTTTGCTTAGGATAATTTTCCGAAATATTATTCTTGTGTTTCGAACCACTTCAAGAATTCGAAGAACAACTTTAACAAAAGTTAATTCAAATATTACAGCGAATTTAATAAATGCTATTGAAACAGGGGTTTCATTTGAATTGAATTGAAAATGCTTTAAAGTCTCAAAAAAAAGTGAAAAATAGAAGATAAGGAAATAAAAGTGGGAAAGAAAAGTCATAGTTTATATAAAAATAATAATTAGACAAAACATGAATTCTTAGAAGCCACCCAAAATGGTGTTGAAAAACGTAGAAACACTAACGGAGATCACACTCAAATTGGACTGAAATTCCAAATGTTCCAACAAAATAGCAAATGATCACAAAAATAAACTAAAACTCAAAAAAGTTTCAAACATGTGCGAAATACTTGCACGAAATTGCAAAACCCTTCTGTAAACAACTGATATGTAGACTACAGGAACACAAAACTAAAGCCAAACGAAAAACTAACCAATATAAACCCAAAACGAGACAGATTACAAGACAAAATATACATACATAACATTATAACTGCTAAATATGTTTTTAATTTTATTGCAGAGAAAAACTCTATCCAAGGCAAAGGTAAAAAGTAAATAATAGTATCAAAAACAATATCAAAAGCACTTTCCAATCGAATATACATTATAATTTTAAATGCTTTTTTTATTCTTTAACGTGTTTGCTTTGATAAGACATTGTTTCAAAAGCTTTATTTTAGTTTTCAACACAAATATTTTCTAAAATTTTTCGGAAGTCGCATGGCTACTAATATTAAGTTCGGGGCTTTTCCAGTTATATTAATAAATAGTAGAAAAATGATTGTATAAAATAGTAACATTTCAATGTGCTAAGTACTGTAGTGTTTTTTAATAAGAAGTTTGAAAATAAATTGCATTTTTAATACAGCGGTTTAACATCCGAAGACGTCAAAATAAGACAGTTAATGGAGGTTTAAAATTTTCCAACAAAGATAGCAAATGATCACAAAAGTAAATCCAGTAACGACTTTAAAAACTTGGGGATAACAGTCGAACAAAAAATTAAAATTTACAAATCATGTGCGAAATACTGAATAAACTGAACATTACAAATAATTTACATTAAAAGACAAATGTTTCGGCTCCAAAAATGCAACAAACATTTAAAAAAACATTTATTTTATAATTTTTAAAAAATTTAAAAATACATACAGAAAACCAAACAGATTACACTACGCAGGAAATAATAAAACATCTGGAGAATCCACTATAGAATCAATCCAACGAACTTCTGTAGGAGCGCAAAGAAATGACAAGAACAGCTAAAATTCTGCAATAAATCCAGGAAAGCTCCAGGCTCAATTTACCCAATTGAACTCGCTTGGCCTAACAAGACAAACTATAGAATCCCGATTCCGATCCCTTCCTTGGCCCTTATAGAATACTGGAGGATACAGAAAAGAAAATGTAAAGAAAATTAATTCGGTTTTATTTTCTTCAGTCTAAATGTAACAGTAAATTTCGGTAATAACATGAGCTGAAAGACTAAAAGAAGAAGACGTTTTCCCATAAAAAAATCTATACTTTATTGATATATTATAAAAAGGATATTTAAAAAAACTTTGTTGAAACAACATGTATATATCACCTTTCTGTATGGTGTATACAGGGTGGCCATTTCCTGAACCTTTGTATGGGTAACTTCTACATTTTTAAAGATAGAGAATCCGTGAAATGGGCAAAATTGGGCAGAATTCGATTGCCTATTCATTACCGTTTTCAAGATTTAGGTACTCGACTTGGTTTCTAAAATATCCTGAAAAGGCAAGAAATCAACACTTTTTAATTATCATATAATTCGTAAACTGCTTAAATTAGAAAACATGTTAATTGTCTTTGGTAGAACTTTTTGTATTGGATTCAATAAACTAGCACTCGTTGTCATAGTCAACTTGATTTACGAGATAAAAGATAAACTTATGCTTTTTTAAATCGTAATCATAGTTGGCTATGGGCCTTTTAAAATCCTTATTTTTTTCTGAATTTAATGATATAACTGTTTGAATGTTTTTTCTCCTTTTGTTACCGTAAAACTTTAAAAGAAGATAAAAAATGTGTAGTGAGCTATGGAAACAAGATGTATATTATCACACAAAGCACAAAACAAAAATGAAATAATTAACGGACACAATACTGTTTACTGGGCTAATGAAAATCATCATCTAATTGAAAATAGGCGAGATCAAGGTGCTTTTTTTCTGAATGTCTGGTGAGGCATTTTTAGTGATAAATTTATTGATCCATTCTTTTATAATCACAATTTAAATATGGAAAGATATTTACACTTTTTACCAAATGAACTTGAAGACATGTTGAATAGTTTTCCGTTAGCATTGTATCGAAAATTGGCATATTTYCAACATGATAGTGCACCTTCACACAACTCACGAGTTGAATGTGAAGATGCCAAAAWATGCCTGGACGTAAACGGAAGTCAATTTGAACATTTAATTTAAACGATTTATTATTGTTTTGTGCTTTGTGTGATAATATAGTTCTTGTTTCCATAGCCTACTACACATTTTTCATCTTCTTTTGAAGTTTTACGGCAACAAAATGAGGAAAACATACAAACAATTATATCGTTAAATTCAGAACAAAATAAGGATTTTAAAAGGCCCACAGCCAACTATGACTACCATTTAAAAAACCATAAGTTTATTTTTTATCTCGTAAATCAAGTTGACTATGATATCGAGTGCTAGTTAATTGGATTCGCAAAAAGTTGTACTAAGGGCAGTTTTAACTTTGTTTCTAAGTTACGCAGTTTACGTAATAAGTGATAACTAAAAAAGTGTCGATTTCTTGTCTTTTCAGGATATTTCAGGAACCAAGTCGGGTACTTAAATTTTGAAAACGGTAATAAATAGGCAATCGAATTCTGCCCAATTTTGGCCATTTATCGGATTCTCTATCTTTAAAAATGTGTTCTGTATAAACTATATAAAACTATATTTTATATAGTTTTTATACCGCTATATGGACGCAGATTGAAATGAAAGTCGGGTACTCTTAAATCAAATGAGATAAAGTCGATTAAAATACCACTTAAAACGGAATATTGTACTTACTGTACTTTACTCTTACATTGATTAACATTACACTTACATCTTCCTAGTAAGTTTCTCTTTAGCCAATTTAACGGCAAGAACCTTTGTAAAGTTTTTCCTTCCTGGCTGAATGTGAGTGAGGAATTTGGAGCTGCTCAAGAATGCCCGACTGTATTAAAATTGTTTAAAATATAAAGGTTTTGCATGTTTGAGCCAGTCTGTGGTGGTGGTCCTGGTGAAAAACTGTGTTCTATAAAAAGTGGTCTATAAACGAAATATTTCACTTTGTAGTTAATCCCATCATACATACGACTTAATGAAAAGCGGCGTTTATTTAAGAAAACCAAAGGAATCATAATTTCATCGAGAATGGAGATGCAAATGCGTCGACTGTATGCACGCTAATTGCACTAAAAAGAAATCTGGATTATGCTTTTGAGGCTAAACGTACACGGGGGCAAACAGAACGAATTTCAATGCGATAAGTTGGTCTCAAGTGCATCTTATCTAGTAGTGGTATTTTGTGTTTGAGAGAAAAATTAATCTTTAAAACTAAATATTTAGCTTAAACTTTCTTAATCTGGACTGTATTCGTTTAAGAGATATAAATTTTAAATGAGTAATAGTTACAGCTAGAATATAGTAATAATTTGTTACATTTGATTATATACTAGAAAAAATTCAAATTTTCCTTTTTTAGACTTAAATGTTATTATATTGGTCTGTAATCTAATTATTTTTTTCCAGGAAATCTATTGGTTATCCTGGTGGTAATGCTAAGCCGACGACTAAGATCAATCACCAATTTCTTCCTAGCTAATTTAGCAGGCGCAGATTTATGCGTGGCACTATTCTGTATCTACCAAAACCTTCTAATCTACATGATAGATAGGTAAGTAAGTAGCCAGTATGTTTCAATTTAACGAGTATTTCATTAATGGATAATTGTATTGAATGATACGCAATTTAGTAAGGAAAATGTTTTTATCACAAATTATACGATATTAATTGCAAATATAAATTGAAATTTAATAAGATAGTTGAAGAATAATCGCGAAATAATGAGACACCCTTTGTCATTTTACATAGAAGATATTCTTTAACTGTCATGTCGTTTCATGAGTGCAGGCACTGGGTGACAATTTAAGCGTTTAAAAGCCCTAAAGTAAAATACAGAATATTAATATTTATCAGCTGTGAAAGTGTAAATTTTCAGCATCCATAACTTTCAAACGGCATGACTCTGCATTGCAGGTAATTTTGAGGAAACTGAATTAATAATAAATGTATGTGTTTGGATTGTTACACTACCAAGCAGGTGATTTATACATTGGGTTTATAAACTCTAAAATAGTTATTTTTTTATTTAACGCAATGAACCTGATTTATTAATTTGAACTGTTATTTATATTTAACATTTATATTAAGCTATACTCCGATATGTAAAGTTTAAAGCAGTTCAGTATAGAAAAATATACATATACAGAGTGATTCAGAACCATGGATTGAAACTTTCTAAAATCTAATACGTTTTATGATTTGGTTTGTATCCAGTTTCATTTTTGTTTTAAAACTATTATATTGATATGTTATTTTTCCCATTTGATACATATTGCATTGTTTATTATAATACAATAAATTCATGCAATTAATTAAACTTTTATATTATTTTTTCCAGTTGGATCCTGGGAAACTTTTTATGTAAAATGTACATGTTTATTCAATCACTAAGTAATACAGCAAGCATTTTCATTTTGGTAGTGATTTGCACGGAGAGGTACTTTGCTATTTTATATCCCATTAAGTGCAAACAGATATTGACAGCGAATAGATTGAAGGTAAGCCACCGAGATTAGTTTGCTATCTTTTCCTAGAATATACGGGTAAAACTCTCAAATTAAAGGTTTCTAGAAAATAAATCAATAACCGATCAATAATAACAGCATCATTAGGTTTTAGGCGCCGATAAGATACAGTTTTCAAGCTTTTGGAGCGCTGTTTTATAATATCTTAATTAAAATGAAATACACTTATATAAATTAAATAAATATGAATCTGAACGATATTTGAAGTCATATTTTTCTGGGAATCAAACGTACATTTTGTAAATGATGCGTAACTCATGCATAGTGTAAAAATATTGCATGCAAACCTAACGAGAACAGGTTTGAATTATCTAAAGCTTAAAAAACATGTGAAAGGTCCTATTACAAGCGAAAAAATAGTATAATTATTTCACGATTAATGCTAAGTTTTTGTGGCGTTTTATTTTTCAGATTATAATATGTATCGTATGGACCTTGTGCGTACTATACAGCATTCCAAAATTAATTTTTGCCAGCGCTATACTGAATGGCAATGAAACAGTTTGCATTTTAAATCGGCAACTTTACAACTCAAAATGGTTCGATATGATTCATTTTGGCCTCTTCTATGTCGTTCCTTTGGGCGTAATGTCGGTAAGTAGATTTTTTCGGCTTCTCGCTATATCTGTTTCTAAGCTTTTTTGTTTTAAGAACTTTAATTTGATTTCTCGTTTCTCGAGTTTCTATTCCAATTACCATATATACTGAAATATTAGCTGCAGTTTCTGAAGACGTTTTTTTTTGTTGCTATTATAGTTAGGAAGGCTTTAGCTTTTGCAAACTTGACAATGAGGAGCAAAAATTATATATAGTTTTCTTTATATACAGGAGCTTTGTCGGATTTTCCAGGCTTAGAAAGCACCTAAATCGACATAATCTTACTCAGTATTAATCCTAATCACCTTAAATATTAAAGTCAACTCAAATATTTGTTCAGGCAAGATTATTGACTAACCTATAAAAAGGCAGGAGAATATTTTTGGCTCAAGCAAATATTGAACAAAGTGTACATTTGACTGAAATAGAAAAAAAATCAAAGCAAAATATTTAGGAATTTTTGTTGAAAAACATATTGCTATAGTAATTATTCGTGTAAGTTGAAACCATTCATCCCAATACCTACAGGAAATTATTTAGACAAAGATCGAGCTAGTGTTCAGTTTTGAGAATATGAAGAGAAGTGTTTCCAAATAATTAGTTTTTTAACAAAAAAGTTTAACTGTTCACCTTGATTCTCTCTTTTTAACATTGTTCAGCTCTACATTTAAACTTAAGAAGTTTGTTAATTTAAACTTAATAAGATCAGTAAATTTTGAAATTTAAATTTTACTTGAAACTTTCCAAATTGCCGCTAAGTCTGCAGTTGATTCAAACGCTGGCGTCTGAAAGCCAAACATCCATTTATCCATTTATACATTTAACTTCAATAATTGCCCCAATTTCGATCTTTTAAAAAATTAGGCAAAAATTAATGTCTATTTTCTGTTCTTGGAAAATCGTTACCAACCAGATGAAAATCAAGAATCAACTAACATGTTTTTAGCGGTTTGTCTATTATTTTTTAATAATTAACATTGAAACTTTTTTTGAAAATGAAAGGGTCTTCAGTGCTCTTAGCTGGAAGCACTAGATGATTCTTACATATTTGCAAATGGTTTTTATATTGAGAAATAATACATATCGAGAATTTCTATCTATAATTATTTCCGGTCTCCAACTCCAATAGGCATTCTCGTTTACATATTATCCCGCTTTTATTTTCTTCGATTGAAAGGCCTTGCTGGCCCACGTTCTTATTCAGTCAATGCTCTTGTTACAAAATATACTCATAATATGTTAGACAGTGCATTTACAAAGTTAATCAATTTTTTTAACCAATACTCCATACTTTTAATCTTTTAATGCTGAATACCAAAATTATTAATTGAGACATAGTTACATGTAAAATAATTTTAATTAATTTAAATATTTTAGTTTATAGGATTTATTTATTATAGATTCCTTCAACTCTCCGAGTGCTGCATTATAAAAAAAAAACATGTGAAAGTGGTTTCAACTACCCATTAAAGGCTATATTTTTTTGTCAAGATGTAGGAAAGTGTAATAAAATTTTGAGGTGCTTAGGAAATTTTGAGAAATATTATCCACCTTCCAGTTTTCGCATTTGTTCCAGCTAAAGTTTCCAGCTTATAGAAAAACTGCTTCTTAAAATAACTGGAACTGCAGTATTTTCTATTTTTAATAAAATATCATAAACTTATAAATCAACGCTATTAAAACACCAAAAATATTGCTTGCAATCGCATAAGGATGTCCTACACTATACACGGTAGTCTCTTCTCTTCTAAACTGCGTAACTTTCACTTGCGGCAAGGATTGTCGAGGAATTCTATACTCTGTTTTTACTAATATTATTCGGGTTGATCGTTTCTCTTAACTTTATTTTTCAGTGCAAAGTTTTTATTATTTTCGCCATTCATATCACATTATTGCTGTTGAGGACGAACATGTGTTTATTAACAGACTAGCGAGATATTATCTTTCATGTAAGTGCAATATTTCGAATTATTTTATCAAACTATTTCGCCTGCTCGTTTTGCAAACTAGGTACACCAAGATCGCAAACGATTGAACTACGACACATGTGACTCTAGGTCCTTTTAGTTAGCATTTTTCAGTCCTGTGCAATATTTATGGGTGATAAGCAAAATGGGCATTTTGTTCTCTTAAATTGCTTGCAAATAATACATTCGTTTTAGTGCTTCCTATTATAGTTCTCGTAGTATTCGACGATGGCTCTAGCAAACTTTCCCGGCAAACCTTTCTTTTCATGACTCTCGACTAAAGAAAGGCAATTTGAATAAATAGGGCATTTCAGCGTCTTTTCCCCAGTCTGTTAAAGCAACTTTTGCTTGCAAGCTCACCAGATTGCAAAAACGAAATAACATTTAACCGAAAATATGAATCCCATGAAATATTTCTAGTAAAATGAGATTTCGGATGTAATCGGTTGCTTAAATGGTTTCCAGCAGACTTAACACTGCTGGCTTTTATTGCAACACGTTCTACTGGCGCTAAATTTTTCTGGCATTTTCAATAAAGCGTTGATTCATCTGTACAATGTTGACTTTATTAGGGAATAAGGAGTAAAATTAAAAATTAACTATTGCACTGTTAATGTTTAAGAGTCGCAATAGTTATACAACTTCCGTCCGGAACTGTTCCGAAATTAGCGCTTCTGCAAATAAAATCCTTTAGGTGTTAAACTTATAGTTTGGATCTTCAGGAAGCTGAATTTACATTTATATATTCCATATATTATTTCTATATATAGAGAAAACTTTGCAAATACATTGCAAAACTGTACCTATATATTCAAGTTTCTAGAACTTCTAAATAGAGCCGAAGCAGTGAGTGGATTAATATAACTATAACATTTCACTCTCACCGAAATTATAATGTTACTTATCTTTGAAGTTTGAAAAGAGATATTTTAACGAACATAAAAATTGTTTAGAACTAATTAACAATAACAAACTATTCAAAGAAAGGTGTCCCACTGTGCCACAGACTTTCTATTACGTTTCTATAAAGTACTAACTTCATATTTATAATAAAACTGTAATCTATAAATTCATAACAAAAATCGTGATTGAGTTTTTTGCTCATTCATCATACATTTTAAAGGAAAACTTAAGAACTTTTTTTATAATATTCCAATGAAAAAACTGCGTTCTAAATCAATCACAATTTGATTAACCGATTAATTGCAAAAGTGTGTTCCATTTATTCAGTTTTGGATCATTTACGGTTGGATCAGTTAGAGATTATGAAAGAAAGCAGCGATAATGTGAATATGTTCTGTTATCAGTTAGCAAATAATACATCGGTTAGCGACACTTGAATCATTTCAACATCATTAATTTAATTTTATATGCTATGCAATTTTTAATTTATTAATTGTAAATCCCCGATATAATTATATTGTTTACTTTTAAGTTGTTGTACAGCCGCATTGCTGTCTGTCTTTGGCATAGCAGTCAGCAACTGAAAAAGCAGCTGGACGCATCTTCAAATAGTAGTCAGTATAAAACGCTCTGTAGACAACAATCGTCGCGCAAAAGGAATGACAAGGTAAGCATTAAGGATTTTTTCATTGGTTATTATTTCATTATTTAAAACTAGTGTAATAATAAAATTCAATCATGACATAAAGTGAAGATTATATAAAGTCCAGCAAAAAATAACTACACTATGGAACGAGAAATATGAAGAGAAGTAGGAACAGGAATCATTTTAAGTTTTTAATTCTCTCAGCAAGATCATTGTGTGACGAACTTCTGTTAAGTTCGTTCTATTTTTTCAATTAATGTTTCCATTGACGTTAGTAGTTTCTTTTGTTCTTTGCCTTGAAAACAGTAAATTAATGGTTGTATGATTCTGATATAAAAACATCCACAATTCAGATAATTAGTAGGAAAATGTGGATGGATATTTTCTAAATACAAGTCAAGAAGAGTAAACGCAACAACAAAAAATAGTTTCTTTGGAACAAATTATAGAAGCTACTGATAAAAAAACGTAAGTTTCAAAACTTATCAAACTTATAGAAGTAATATTATTACTGAATCAAGTTATGTAATAATGAATAGAAACCAAAGTCGCATTTTCAATAGACTCATAAAAGAACTATTTTCAATCATTGTTGATCATATTTGAATATTATAAACAAACAAATATCATATTCTTACTTATTCAAATTATTGAACACTGGTCCGATATCACTAATGATTCTAATTTTTATTCTTCCGAAAGTAGAAAGAAGAAAACAACAAATAATTGTCATATATGCGGAGATAACAAAAAAAAACCAGATTTGGAGAAATCGGATTATAACATTAGTAATTGAAAAATGAAAATTTAATCCGAGCCTGATCGGTACAAATTTTCTTGATATTTCGTCAAAAATCGAGAGAAAATTAATTGTCTGTCGGTGTTTTGACGCAACATTAAAGATATTTTGCCGCAGCTCAGGCTCGGATCTGGCGCGGCTCGTGAGGTCTGAACGCACCATTATAGTGCACTTATTGTTCATAAGTGAAAAGAAATTTTCAAGCGGTAAAAAGTTTTAGTTTACACATCGAAATTTCAGTGTTGTAGATAAAAAATATAGGTACATATTAAAATTTAAAATTCTTCAAATATCTTCCAGAAATATAAAAAAATATTTAGCAGTCAAATCGACAAATCGAGCAACCAAATAATTTTCTAAAACATTTTCTAAAAAATGAAACTTAAAAATAATGAACAAACCAAAGTAAAAATAGAAATACTACTGTTTATTAGGATTTTGCTTGCTTTGCAAAAATTCGATTCACTTTCGGCAGGCTAAGCACAACACCGTGCCTATGCTACAAAAGTCTTTCTCTAATCTGCAAAACTCCCTTTAATACCCTGAAGCTATTTACGCATTTCGCAAAGTTTGTATTAAAGGAAAGCATCAACGGCAAACATTTACAAGAGTTTCCTTATTGTCTCCGCTCTTGGCAACTAAAGTTTCTACATCCACTTTGAAGGAGTTATTTAGCACAATTCAATCTGAAACTGGTTCGTTTCTGGCTATTTTTGGCCGTTGTGGATAAGAATTTGTTCCTAACGTTTCACAAACACAAGTGACTCGCTTCGTCAGATGTGTTCCGTTCTACAGATTACACATATAAAGCTCTTGAGCGAAACACATCTGAGGCCGCAAGCCACTCCTATAAGCAAACGTCAGGATGAAATCATTTTCAAAAAATCACCCTAAGTACTTTAAAACTATTTCATTTCTTCAGCCTAGTCCACTTCGAAAATATTTCAAATCAGAAAACATGCTTACCTACTTCTATATAAAAATACCATTTTTTACGCATTTCAGTCGATCACTACCAATGGAGCAACTCCTTGTGGAACTCCACAATCTCCATATTCCAAGCCACAACTTCAAATTCGGACCTCTGGAAGCTCGACTCACGCTAGTAATGGAAACAGTCCCGCCTACAGTGAAAACGTGCTCAAAGCAAGGAAAGGAGTAATCAAAATGCTAATCATTATGGTAACTAATTGTTTTCTATGTCCAACTTTTAGAGCGATTTATTTTATATTTTGAAATAATTCGTTTTTTAATTTAGGTTGGGGCTTTTGCAATCTGCAATCTGCCGGTTCATGCTAGAAAAATGTGGCAGTATTGGTCACCTAACTACCAAGGAAACTCAAATTTCAGCGCCGTTCTAACACCTTTAACAGCCTTGTGTACTTACTTCAATTCTAGTGTTAATCCTTTACTCTACGCTTTTCTGTCCAAGAATTTTCGAAGGTAAGTTATAGAATTCTCGAAAGTCAAAGAATTTGCAATTAGAAAAGGGATATAATTTATTTATTTTAGGGGAATGCGTGAAATTTTGTTCTGTAAATGGTTGAGGAAGAAACGAAATTCATCCTTTCATCACAAAATGAGCACCAGAACACCCAGGGGCATTTTCCAGAGGCAAAGTAGCACAAGATCTACCTTAAAAGGAATTAACGTTACAACTGTAACTGTGATGCATGAATGTAGTTCAGATGAAGTATGACTTTGTTGTAAAGTTAGTTAAGAAACATTTGTATAATATTATATTGTAAATACAGTGATATTAAATTATTTCCAAGACAACGGCAGTCGCTTAAATTGATTTTTTTAAATTATTGTCTTTGTTTTGCACCAAGGTTTCCTTTTTTATATGCAATTGATGAACAACGCGCAAAGGTTTATAAGGCTCCTGGAATCAAAATACTCAATAGTAAAACACACTTTATGATATTTCGTTTATTTTAATACAGTAGGAATTGCACACGTTTCGATTCAAAATTCAAATGCGATTTTTAAATACAAGATAATATAATAAATAAATAATTTACTCAGTTCAGACATCATGGCACTTGCTATCAAGCAAAATGACAAAACGGCATAAATTAATAACTACGTTAAAACTACCCATTACCACTTCCCAATAGCGGTAGCGACGATAAAAATATGTGAACATTCATTTTTATTGTCGCAAGTAAATTATTCTTAAAGATTCGAAATCTCGATATCCTTAAAAATAATTCGGCTATCTTAGCTTTAACAATAAAGATACAATACATTTGAAGGACCAAGTTGTGGTAGCAAATATGGCATATTTTGATACAGATGTTTTTCCAATTGCAATTGTTCTGCAGTAGTATTTTACATATATTTAATTACTATATTATAATGGCAATGTTAAGTCTTTCCTTCTTCTGTAAGATACGTTGATCGACTCGATCGGTATCTGCCATTTGCTTCTTTGCATGTTGTAACCGGAGCAGTGAAGTAGTTTTGATGTTCTCTCGCATTGTCTGTAAAGTCAATTTTGAATATTTTCGAAATTTTTTAGTATAAATTTTAGGATTTTAGTTTTCCAGAGTCTTTCATGAGAATAATATTTCTTCTTCATTATATCTGATTACATACATAATATATCTGATTACTTAATGTTAGATGCTCAAATAGTATATTTTCTCTGGGGCTAATTTAGTTTTTTTTTGATAAAATGAAATTCGCGAAAGGGTGAAAATGCTTCGTTTCCAAATTAGCGGCGTTAACGATTTATAGAAAAATATGTTAAAACCGTTTTCATGAATGTTAACTATCTTTAAGCAACGATTCAATTTCTGGTTCTCCCATAACACTTTTTTTGGTAATCGAATCTACTGTGGAAATTATTTGCGTAAGTATAACTCATGTTGCATATAACTTTTTTATGTCAGTAAATTTCAATATTCCGCTTTTCAGTTTTTAACGTAAAGTATGTTTTAACACAATATTTCATTTTCAAACTACACCATGTCTAATGGAAACTGAAGGCAAATTATATAGAGCGAAACATTTGAAACCGTTAGATAAATAAAAACCTACTAATGTAAAATGAAATAAAATTGCGAAGTAAGCAAATTTTCTACAAACCTAAGAACATTTCGCAACCATTTCAAACACCATAAGAAATATTACTTACCGACTTATTTGCCAGTACGCAAATCCCTCTGGACATTGATAAAGGAATCCTTGCAGACTCCTTGTCTTTCTTTGGCATTTTACAAATTGCTGTGAACAATCCATTGTTGATTCAATTTCATGCGACCCTTCAAACGGACAAAGTGGTTTCCGAGTCTCTATTTGAATCTATACATCAAAAAACATATATTAGCAAATAAAATGTATTATTTCTATACGTATTGCCAAAAATTTATTAACTTTGTGGGTAAGCCAAAAATTAAAAAAATTAACAATCAGTTTAAAGCAAAAGTTTAAAGCAAATTTAAATATTTTGTCTGCAAAATTTGTTTTATAAAACGGAAATTTTTGACAAAATCCAAACTCACATATTATAAGCTGTCTTAAAGTGGTTTATACTACATAATCATTAAAATGAGATTAAAATTTGATAAGCAAACTATTCAGAGATGTGCGTAACAATTGTATCAATTAAGTGATTAAAGTTATTTTGTTGGCGCTTTTTAAAACGTGACTTATAATGCAAAAGCGTTTAATGAACAATTTACAGAAAAAATCTTTAATTGTTTTTTTCTGACTGCCATATAATATTTTCTCAATACTTATACAATATATTAATGAGTATATTTTTTTCTACAAAGATGGGCTTTTCATTTTCTATGATATAATATTTGACACTCGTTTTTAAGTCTGCTTACAATGTCCTAAGAGTGTATTAAATAATGTGTTTTCTGACAAATAAAAATTATTATAATTATTATTACATATTTTTATATATAATTTTACGTAATCAAACTAATATCAATAAACAAATGTGGAACAAGTGAAGAAGACAATTAAACAAGTATGTATTTTTTTACTATTTACATACATACATTTTGAAATGTGTTATTTTTAGAGTTAATTTTTATCTCAAAATTAGTAACTATTTCAGTAAATAACAAATGTAAAAAGTAGTCTATTTAATAAGTAAATGTAGTGAAGGAAAAATTCCTAGATTGCTCGAAGTTGATCCATTTTGCCCATGTATTAAAGGAAACAATTTCTCATTTTTAGTGAAATCTGCACTAGTGGAATTAAAAATAGACTACGATCAATAAACTTGGATTTGAAGAAAACTCCAATTATCAAAAATCATATAAGATATTTCTTAGCTATTCTGAAAAACTCTGTTCTATTAGAATAAAAATATTGATCTGTTTTTCGACTGTTGATTGTGTGTTTCAAAGTCTTTTGCTTACTATGCCCGTTTTCAAGCCTCTGGGTTTCAACCAGATAATTCGATAAAGAAAGTCCTGTCAACTACCAAACTCTTTTTTTGAGTTTTTAAAACCTCAACTCAATACTTACGGGTGAAATTGCGTTAATATCCAGTTTCCTATATAAACTCGCTTCTGCAATATGTCCCCTACATGTCTGACTAGTTTCGTTTTGGGGCAAACATTGAATCATCTTGTCATCATAAATAGTGCCTAAGAAGTAAGGATTGTAAATATATCAGGGAAAGCTGTTCGAGACATTATACGGAGAATATTTTAATTAAAAAGGAGTCGAAGTATCTGTTGTTGATTTATTTAGTGTGATAATTGATTAGTGTGAAAATATTCAAAGTAAATATTATAGTATGCTGATGCACACGCAGAGTGAAATAATCAAAACAACAGATGAACAAAAGAAGTTGGAAACTGCAGAACATAAACTCTCAATACGAATTCATAATTTTCGATTAATGTTTAATTAAAAATAAAAAATAATTTACTTTTCAAGTGATTAACAAGAATTGAAATACCGAAAAGAAAAGAAGATGCCAATTCTTCAGCATTCTGAGTGAACTATTTGCAACAAGTGAGTCCAAACTAAATTTAAATTTTATTTATTCGAAGTGTGAAATTTACCCGAATCACTAGAATATTGAAGAAGATAAAAACACTTCATTTTTCAATGATTCTAGTAACTATCTGTCATGCAACTCAAAATGTTTTAGTTACCTTGTGGGCAGCTTAAGACCAATATTTTATAGTCATGGGATTTCTCGTTGGCCGTACATTGATAGAAAAGGTTGCAATATTTCGGATGTCTTCTAAATCCTGTCGGACATACCAAAGCGATTTGATCGCCTTCCAGCTGTCCAATGGGACAAGGTTCCATTTGAGAGCCGCCTGTAAAGGGAAAATCAGCTTTAATCAATTCCTCATATTTTTTCGAATTTCAAATTAGATAGACACCAACAGAAAAGTTAATAACATTTATTTACTGGTGAATTAATGTCAATGTATTCAGATGCTTAAAAGGTCTGTGCATGTACCAAATCCTCATCACCTGGTCCTTGATATTAGTAGATGATTCATCTAGGAATCGACCGAAATCCTTTTAATTACACCAAGAACAATTACATCCCCATTAGAAACAACTCAGTTGTTAGTAACAATTAGTTTATTTCAAGTACACTTTCCAATTAATCTCATTAAGGAAATCATGGCGAATATGAAGGTGAAATATTTCAGAAAATGTACTCAAAAAACACTGACAATAACTTGTGCCATAACATGCTTTGTGCGATTATCACAAAAAGGTGCAATGAGTTCGGTGCCTAATCAATTGGTGCAAAGTAGAATCAACAAACGGTCCCCAAATTTCCTTAGGAATAAATTACCTCCCGACGGTGTACTCGATCCAGTGGATGTTTCGCTACTAATTGTGGTGTGATCTCCCGTGGAAGTTGTAAAAGTTAATTGTGTTGAAGTTTCTACACTTTCTGCACTAGTAGTGCTTTCTGTTTCATTTGCAGATATAAAATTTTCCGTGGGTGGCATTGAACTAACGCTGGTTTGTGTAGTTTTTTCAATGTCACCATCCGTGGTGACTTGTTGCTGTTCTGTAGTATTATCTGTAGTGGACTCGGGTTTTTGTGTAGTAGTTTGTTCAATCATATTAGATTCAGTTGATAAAATATTTGATTCGCTATTTGTATTTGGTAAGGAAGTTGTGCTTGGTGCAGTCGTTTCAGTAGAACCTTGTGAAGTGCTTTCAATCTCAAAAACAGTGGAAGCTTCTGTTTCAGAACTCGTATTCGGTACTCGAGTTGTAATGGAAGTCGGAAATTCGGTTTCAGTACTCATGAAGGCTTCTGTTGTGATTGTTTCAGTGTTTTCTGTAGTTACTAGTGTAGTTGACTGGATAGAAGTACTGTCGGTTTGAAGTGAAGTTGATTCTTCAGTTCTGGAAGCTGTTTCAGTAGAAACTGTATCATCGGTTGTAATGGGGATGCTAAGTGTAGTGGTTTCTAAATCAAATGGAATGCTGGTTCCAATATCTGCAACTGTTGTGGTTTCGGTAAGGATTGTGGATAAACTAGCATTTTCAAAAAGATCTTCTGTAGTGGTACTTTCCATGAGGATGGTGGTGAGTTCGGTACTTGCCGGTGTTATGTGTTCAGATATCAATGTTGATTGTGTGCTTAGATCCATCGAAGTGGTTTCAAATAGTTCTGTTGTGGAAGTAAAAGTGTTTTGACTGTCTGAAGTTGTTACTGAATCCAGCGTAGTGCTTTCCACTGTAAAAGATGTACTCATATTGCCTTCAAATGGTGTGGTAGCTTCTGCACTGTGAGTACTTGTGTATTGAGGATCCAAAGTCGACGGAAAAGGTTCAGTGGTAGAAATGCTTTCGAATTCAGTAGTTCCAGTGATAAGCGGTGTAGTTTGATAATCAGTAGTACTCTCAATTTTCTCTCCATCTACAGTGGTTGCAAGAATGGCTGGTGTAGTTGTTGAAAGGTCGTTCGGTTCCGTAGTGTAATATGTGTTTTCCGGATTTGTGTGCAGTGTTGTGTGTTCTATGTTCACTGTACTAGTGGCTTCTGTTGTAAAATCTGTTCAAATTGATTATCGTATTGGATTATTTGCGTTTGTACATGTGCATTTTAAAGTGACAGGTTGATCAAACAAGTAACTTAACTCCAAGTTTCGACCGAGTCAATTTATTAAATTTATATTGTTAGTTAATTTCTCTAAGCACCTATTTTTTATTATCTTGTCAAACTTTACATGCAATGTAATCTTGTAGATACTGGGATGGATGTGTCCTCTATTTCAATCTCAAAATGTATATTTATTATTTGGAGCACTGATTCCAATGGAATCTTCCGTCTACTCGTATCTTAGTAAATGAAAATTTTGGCTATGAAATCGACTACATAGAATTGAACGGCATTTATTTAATTTTTCAGTCGTTTTCAAGCTTTGTCATGAACAAATTTTCCGTTTGGTTGGGAAGTAGCATATCCAGACTTAAGGAACTATAATTTTCCTGCTATGCGTTGGTGTCTCTTTATAAAATGATGGAGCTGAGAATTGAAAAAAAACCCTGAACTGGTAACTTTTTGGTTACAATCAAATAAACTAATTTTTAGTTGCCTCAATCCATGTGGAAATTTTCGCAAAGGTTTTCTGCCTTATTCCCAATTCTTTCTTCTTTATTTTTCTTGCACAAATTGCACCAATGAATGTTATCAATATTGCTTCAAGCACTTACCTTCAGTTGTACTATCTGGGTTCGATGTGACTTCAGTAGCAACTTGAGTACTTTCGGTAGGTAAATTAGAGCTCATAGGAGATGAAGTAGTTGTAATTGTCGTCAAAGATTCTGTGCTAGGTTTCACTTCAGTGGTTCCAGCAGAAGTGGTAGAAGATTGACTTATGGTGCCAGAAGTACCACTTTCATCGGTTGAAGAACTCCCAGACTAAAATTGATTATTTAATGCTCGGCCAAAAATGACTGACAATGGTCGTACCTCAGCAATGGGAGTTTCCGACCTGCATGCACCCTGTACCGCCCATGGATAATTGCAAGTCAAACTTTGCTGATCCCACACTGTTTCTTTGCCACAAGAAAACTCATGGCGGTCGTAATTTCCACGTGCATTTGCAACGCATCTGTAAAATTTGGAACAATTCTGAGCGTGCCCTAGGAAGCCATCTTGCGAGCAAAGTGGCCCAGAAACTGGAGATGTTGCTCCACTTGGTCCGGAAGGCTCTGACGACCCCGAAACTTGAGATGATGACCCACTTGAACTGGAAAGCTCTGAGACTGAACCAGGTGAAGCAGGCGCTGAAGAACCAGAATTTGCAGCTTCGGGTGAGGAAGTAGGGGAAGAAGCTTCTGCCGAGCCTGGAATGGTAAATTTGATAATCATAGTAAAATCAGTGAAACATTTTTCTACGTACCATCCCCGGGTGACGGTTGCGAAGCAACTTGACTACATTTTCCTCGAACCGCACTGGGGTAGTTGCAAGCAAAAATGGACTGATCCCAAACAGTGCCCGTTCCACAAGTAAATTCGTTCTTTGTTAGTGCACCTTGCCCATTGTTAATACAACGGTAAAATTTGGCACAGTTTTGCTCATCGGCTACAAATCCCTCTTTTATGCACTGGTTGTTGAGAAGTTCTCCAGGAAAAACTTGGTTGGAGGATGTTTGATTATTGCAGTTGCTTGATGAGCCATTTTGATTCTGCGTGGAAGGACTATTAGAATTGTTTGAATTTGGCGGTTGGTTTTGTGGCGTGCCAGTTTGAGGATTTGTAGAAACTTGTTGGTTTGGTCTTCCTTCACTTTGGTTTGACCCTGCAAGCGAAAGGACTAAATCAGATTAGGGTTTTAACAAGCATGATTAATCGAAATTATGGTGATGACTAAGGGAATCCTCCTTAACCTAGGTCCTACCTAGGTATTGTACATTATTACTTACCTACGTTATTAGAACCACTTTGATTCTCGTTTTGGGATTGTCCGGTTGTTTGAGATCCTCCACTTATATCAGAGCCGGTTGATCCAGAAGTTGGTAAACCAGGTTGGGCTACGTAGCATTTTCCCCTTACGGCGTAAGGGTAGTTGCAAGCCTGAGAACCTTCATCCCACACCGTTCCTTCACCACAAGTAAACTCATACTTTATGTAGCCTCCGTTGCTATTTTCAACACATCTAAAGAATTTTTTGCAATTTTGTTCATCTCCGACAAATCCTCCTGCAGCACACTGATTATTGATGATTTGACCTGGCTTTTCTACAGCTGGAGAAGTTGATGTTCCACCAGATGGGTTTTGACCAGTCGAGCTTTGACCTGATCCAGATGATGATCCTGATCCTCCAGACTGATTTCCACCTGTTCCTCCAGATTGAGTTTGTTCTGAACTCGTTGATCCTCCGGACTGATTTTCGCCAGCTCCATCTGACCCTCCCAATTGATTTTGATTTGTACCACTTGATCCTCCAGATTGATTTTGATTTGTTCCATTTGATTCTCCAGGTTGAGTTTGACTTGAAGTTCCACCGGATTGATTCTGACCTGACCCATTTGATCCACTAGATGGGTTTTGCCCGGCACCATTGGATCCTGCGGTTTGACTTTGATTTGCTCCATTTGATCCCCCAGATTGATTTTGACTTGAACCACCCGATTGATTCTGACCTGATCCAGTTGACCCACTAGATTGACTTTGTCCTGCCTGACTCTGATTTGATTCTCCGGTCTGACTTTGTCCTACATTCGACCCTCCGGTTTGAGTCTGACCTGATTGGTTTTCTTCTGATGAACCTTGATGATTTCCATTTACATTAGAACCACTTGGATTGGTGACCGGTTGTTGACCAGGTTTTTGCTGTTGGGAGGCACCTGTAAAAAATGCAGATTTAGTGAAATTTAATCTTTTTACAAAAGTTTATTTAACCTGGTTGGTTTTGTCCAGATCCGTTTTGGTTTGAACCGGAGTTATCTGATCCACCATTCTGATTCTGATTGGACGTTTGGTCAGTAGAACCAGATGATTGTTCTAAAAATAATCAATATGGAAACAATTGACAAATTTGATGAAAAGTTACTGACCAGGTTCAGCTGGCCGATAGCATTTTCCTGATACCAGAAACTGGTGGTTGCAAGATATGATACTTTGATCCCAAACGGTTCCATTTGCACAACTGTACTCGTATTTTACGTAACTTCCTCTGCCATTATCCACGCATCTGTAGAACTTTTTGCAATCACGCTCATCTGATACATAACCTGGCTGTGAGCACTGGTTGTTGATGATCTGCCCTTGAGTAGCTGGCTGCGGAGTTTGGTTTTGTTCTGATCCGTTCTGTTGGTTATTCTGCCCTTGGCTTGGCTGCGAAGCGCCTTGCTGGATTCCAGGTTGGGTCTGAGCAGTCCCTGAAGAAAAACGTTTCGATTACATTAAAAAAATTGATAAAAGCGCACAACTTGCCTCCGTTATTATTTTGATTCTGATTTGGACCTACATTGGAGTTTTCATTTGCATTGTTGTTGGAGCCCTGATTATTGTTTTGATTTCCGCTTTGATTAGTACTTTGATTTTGCACCTGATTCCCATTAGAACCTTGATTTCCACTTTGATTATTGCTTTGATTTTCGTTCTGATTTGAATTTTGATTTTCATTGTTGTTCTGATTCGTGATCTCATTAGAGCCCTGACTTCCGTTTTGTCCCTGATTCCCATTTTGGTTCTGATTGCCAGTTTGAGACCCGCCTTGAGCACCATTATTGTTGACATCGGATCCAGAACTTACTGGTCCAGGTTGAGCTACGTAACATTTACCTCTAACAGCAAACGGATAGTTACAGGCTTGCGTTCCTTCATCCCACACTGTTCCTTGGCCGCAATTAAACTCGTATTTTACATATCCGCCTCGTCCGTTATCAACACATCTGTAGAATTTTTGGCAATTTCGCTCATCGCCCACAAATCCACTAGAGGCACATTCATTATTAATTAACGTTCCTGGACGTTCGGTAGCTGGACCAGTAGCTTGCGTTTGATTGAAAGTACTTTGAGTTGATCCGTTTTGGGCGGGTTCGGAAGATCCATTCTGAGATGATACGGAAGATCCGGTTTGGGATGACCCGGAAAAACCATTTTGGGATGAGCCAGAGGATCCACTTTGTGATGATCCAGAAGAGCCACTCTGAGACGACCCGGAGGATCCGTTCTGAGATGAACCAGAAGATCCGTTTTGTGATGATCCAGAAGAACCATTTTGTGATGACCCAGAAGATCCGGTTTGAGATGATCCAGACGATCCGTTTTGGGATGATCCAGAAGATCCGTTTGGTGATGTTCCAGAAGAACCATTTTGTGAAGAACCAGATGATCCATTTTGAGACGATGCGGATGATTGGTTTTGTTGATTTTCATTTGCATTTGATTGACCCTGATTATTATTAGCTTGTTCGGAACCGCTCTGCTGGCTTTGATTTGCGCCAGATTGCTGATTCTGTTCGGACCCTCCTTGGTTTTGTTGGGATGTGCTTTGGCTGGAGCCCCCTTGTTGGCTGTTATCGGTTTGTTGTGGACTTTGATTGTTAGTTGATCCTTAAAGAAAATTGTACCTTATATTATTATGTCATGATAAAATGTGCCTGATATATATACATTTTCGCTCACATGCTGTTCACAACATTAAAAATTTGTTTTACTTGAGCATCATAATCACATAGAACGTTGAGAAAATGAGTTAATCAACTCACCTTGATTAGTGGACGTGTTCTGATTTTGATTAGATCCGCCAGATTGGTTTTCACCTTGAGATGTGCCAGCATTGGAATTATTTGGCTCAGAAATTGTAACTTCTGGATTTGCCATATAACATTTACCGCGAACTGCATAGTGATACTTGCAAGCTTGCATTTCCTGATCCCAAACGGTTCCTGATCCGCAAGTGAACTCATACTTAATGTACCCTCCTTGGCTATTTTCCACACATCTGTAGAACTTATTGCAGTTCTGATCATCACCAACAAATCCACTTAATGCACACTGTTTGTTGTTATCTAATTGGCCAGGCCTTGCAGGCGTTGGCCCAGAGGTGTTTTGATTCGTTCCATACTGGTTGGATTGATTGCTTTGTTGGTTCTGATTGGAAACTGATCCGCCTTGGTTGTTTCCAGTTTGCTGAGACTGGGATTGATTGGAACCACTTTGACTTGAACTGCCTGTTTGATTCTCGTTAACAGGCCGTTCGTTCTGATTGGCGCTGCCTTGCTGGGATTGGTTGGAAGTGTCTTGGCCAGTCCCAGTTTGACTCGAACTGGTTTGCTGATTTGTCGAAGAACCGGATTGCTGAGACTGGTTGGAACCGCTTTGATTCGAACCCGTTTGTTGGTTCTGGTTGGTTGATTGATTCTGATTGCTGGTACCTTGTTGACTTTGGTTCGATGTTTCGGAAGTTGTCGATCCTGAAACCAAAAACAATTTTAAGATTTGTCTCTTGAAATGCAGTGAGTGAATAACTAGAACGCAGTAGATAGGAAGCACATGTAACATGACTGGTGCTGAAGATTTTAGGCATGAAGTATTTTGAAGTATTAATCTGTATTTCTTCAAAGGGTTCAGAAGCTGAAATATGTAAAGCGGAGTTTTAAACCAAAAAATTAATGCAAAAGTTTCCCGAGACCTAGAAGACCTTTAATTTATAGAGAATTCCGACTAACCTTGATTACTAGATCCCTGGTTCTGAATGCCGTGGCCCTCTTGTGCTGAATCAGTGTTTGTAGCATTTCCATTCACTGGAGTGATTTGAGCTTGGTTGCATTTGCCTTTCACTGAATAGGGATAGTTACAAGCTTGTGTTTCTTGGTCCCAGACAGTGCCATCTCCGCAATTAAACTCGTATTTAGTGAAACCGCCTTGTCCGTTCTGCACGCATCGGTAGAATTTTTTGCAGTTTGACTCATCCCCTACAAAGCCACCAAGAGCGCATTGATTATTAACTAACTCGCCAGGTCGATCAGTGATTGGATTCCATGAAGACTGAGTTTGATTTGATTGCATTGAGGTACTTTGCTGATTTTGCTCTGACGAATTTTCAGTGGAACTTTGGCCCGAGCTTGTTTGTTGCTCTTCGGTTTGGCTTGAACCACCTTGTTGGTTCTGATTCGAAGTCGATCCACTTTGGTTATTTTCAGTTTGTTGTGATGAGCCAGAAGAGGATGTGGTGCCTCCAAAATAAACAAAAACTAACACAATTTGTTATTTGGATAAATCGATGCATACCATTTTGAGTGGGTGTGGGCAGTCCAGGCTGTGCCGCATAGCATTTTCCAACTACAGAATATGGATAACTACAAGCCAGAACTGTTTGATCCCAAACAGTATTGTCTCGGCATTGGAACTCGTATTTAATCAAACCTCCTTTTGAATTACTTACGCACCTAATCACGTAAATTTAAATCAATCACTGGAGATTCTGGAAATTTTTTGAACTCACCTATAAAACTTTTTGCAGTTTTCCTGATCCGCCACAAAACCTTCTCTGGTGCAATTTCCTTTAGAAATCTGTCCACGTTGTGCTTGATATTGACCGCCTGATGTTTGATTGTTTTGACTTGATTGGTTACTGCCTTGCTGATTACTTGAACTTGAACTTGAACTGCCACTTTGCTGGTTGGAGCTTCCGGATTGATTACCACTGCTTCCAGAGCTTTGTTGATTGGACGCGGAACTTCCCGATTGTTGCTGGTTACCGCTTGATGTTCCTCCTTGATTATTTTGCTGATTTGATGTAGAAGATTCTTGAGATGAACCAGAACTACCAGACTGGCTGCCACTGTTAGAGCCTTGTTGATTGGAAGATGAACCTGATTGCTGTTGATTGTTGTTTGAAGTTGTGGAGCTTCCAGACTGATTGTTACCAGTACTGGAGCCTTGGCTGCTGTTTTGCTGATTAGAACCTCCAGACTGATTACTACTACTTTCAGAACCTTGATTAGTGGACGAGCTTCCGGACTGCTGTTGATTATTATTCGAAGCGCTTCCTTGATTGTTGCTTTGATTTGATGTGGAGCCACCAGATTGTTGAGAAGAACTTGAGCTTCCAGATTGATTGTTGCTGCCTGACTGCTGCTGGTTATTGTTTGCAGAGCTTCCTTGATTGTTGTTTTGATTTGATGTGGAACCACCAGATTGCTGAGCAGAACTCGAGCTTCCAGATTGATTGTTGCTTCCTGACTGCTGCTGGTTATTGCTTGAAGAGCTTCCTTGATTGTTGCTTTGATTTGATGTTGAGCCACCAGATTGTTGAGAAGAGCTCGAGCTTCCAGATTGATTGTTGCTGCCTGACTGCTGCTGGTTATTGTTTGAAGAGCTTGCTTGATTGCTACTCTGATTTGACGTGGAACCACCATTTTGTTGAGATGAACCAGAGCTGCTATTAGTACCAGAACCCTGACTACTTCCCTGCTGATTATTCGAAGTAGAACTGCCACTTTGTTGACTGGATGTTCCAGATTGATTACCGCTACTTCCGGAACCTTGTTGAGTTGTAGATGAACTGCCTTGATTGTTATTTTGGTTGGAAGAAGAGCTTCCTGATTGCTGCTGATTGTTATTTGAAGAACCACCCTGGTTCATGTTTTGGTTTGACCAGGAGCTTCCGGATTGATTATTGCTGCCCCCAGATTGTTGCTGATTCGACGATGAGCTTCCCGATTGCTGTTGGTTGTTGTTTGACGAACTGTTTTGATTGTTTATCTGATTTGATGAAGATCCGCCTTGTTGATTAGATGAAGAACTTCCAGATTGTTGTTGGTTGCTACTCGATTGAGAAGCACCCTGATTTGAGGAGGAGCCTCCCGATTGGTTGTTGCCATTGGTTGAGTTTTGCTGGTTGGAGGAGGAGCTTCCACTTTGCTGTTGACTATTGCTGCCGCTCATTTGATTTTGGTTGCTTCCTAAATGTGTAGTTCTAAGGTAGTGAATTGATGTGGGGAAGCTTTGCAATATATTTACTGATGTATAGCTTCATTATGGATTTGAATTTTTTTCTTGAGAATGTGCGATATATGATAGTATAGTATAGATAAATAGTAAACATCTGAATGCGTAAAAAGTAAGTAATTGATTTAATTTGATGAGAAAAAGCGAATAAACTTGAGTGCTTGTTTTGCTGGATCTAAAATTTGTAAAAGGTTAAACCATGTAAAATATTGATCAACTTTGGCAATAAGTGTAAATCGTTTTCAAGATATGTACATTTTATAACTTTCGACTGCTCGCAAAAAATGCATATAAATAAATCCAAGTTAGTTATTGGGCAACAAAACTATACATAAGAAACATTTTGTATTAGTGGCTAGTCCTTAAGTGCATGGAGGCATTTTATCCTAACACAAAATGCTATTTAGGTATCATCTAAATTCAGCTAAATCATCAAAAGTGCTCAAACAGTGCAAGTACTAATCACTAAAATATGCAAAATGCTCATTTTCAAAACAAAATGCAATGAAACTTACCTGAATTCTGGAACGTTGAAGACGAACTAGAATTTTGAAAACTAGAACTACTTGAGGAGGAGCTTGAAGAGCTAGAACTAGAGGAGCTACTAGAGGAAGTACTATTCTGTGCTGAGGAATTAGAAAAAGAAGTGCTTTGTTCCCATGTGCTAGATTGTGTAATAGATTGCGTGCTGTTTGGTGCATTTTTTAAGAGTAACTGACCACCGTCCGCTTCTTCTAGGCAGTCCAGTCTTTCAACTGCCTCTGGATAATTGCAAGTTGTGGCGTTTACATCAAAAACCGTTCCTTGAAGAAACATCCGAATAAACAACTAAGAATAATCCATTGAATTAGTGTTCATACCTGGTGCACACGTGAATTCATATTGAGTATAACCCTGTTTGCCATTATCCACACATCTATAAAATCTTCTGCAGTTGACTGAGTCTGCTCGAAACCCGGCAGCTACACAGCGATTTGGTGCTGGCGCTCTTGTCGTTGATTCTGGAACTAAGGAGCTGGATTCTGGATAATAGCTACCGCTTTCTGGCGCTAAACTACTGCTGAATGTCTGGATTGGTTGCTCTGTGCTTGCAGCAATACCGTTTGCTGGAATTAGTTCTGGATAGACGACAGTGCTTGAAGTGGTAGCTCTAAAGTTACCTCCACACTCTAAACGGGAACTTGCATAAGCGTAGTTACACACGCCAATAGCTGGATCATAAATAGTTCCTTCGCCGCATTCAAATGCATATGCAACATAGCCTCCGTTTTCGTTTGGAACACATCTGTAGAATTATTTCTTTTTAATAGGTCTTATATACCTATGCGTTCATAATAAATAAAAACGGACTTTTTTCTTAAACTCCTCTTTGCATATTAATAACAAGAGCTTCTTTTTTCTCTTGGTTGATTGGTTCATGTAGTTTTTCTCATTGCTGTTCCTTAATTAATTTACCTGTAAAATAGCCTGCAGTTGCCGGAGTCGAGAAAGGTACCTTCACCCCGACATTGGTAATTGTTGCTGCTAATTTGCCTAGAATTTCTTATATAAGGATCTACCAGATAGTCGTAGTCGAAAATTCGTAAATCTGAAATAAAGGGAAATTAAGTTGGTTACAATGTCTTCATTAGTACAATATAAAGTATTGTACTAATGAAGACAATAATTTACAAAACAGCAGTGTTTCTCTAGTTTCCCATTTAAATAACGCATTTGTATGTTGTTTGTTCCATTTAATGTCAGATAACCAAGCAAGAAATAAAATTAGCTTAAAAAAGTGTCAAGACATTTAACTTAAAATCAAATGAAAGTAGCAAATGCCCGATTTTTTATATGAAATTGAAAATACGCTTTTCGCGTTTATTTCTCAAGAAACAATGCTGACGTGGATTTTTTTAAAATCCGGGTAAGTGCGAGTTTGAAGTCACAATTTATTGGCTAAGCTAAAGAGTAGCTAAGCAGAGACTAAAATAATAAGCAATTAAACTATAATTAATGTATTTGTAGTCATTTTTAAGTTTATCTGCCATGTTTATTCAACTTTCAAGCAAGACCGACATAAATTACAATACAGGAAGCTTTATAGCAGAGACCATCCTTAGAATTTGCACTTTATTGCTTCCAACTTTTTATAGGCTGGAAATTTTTGATGAAATCCTGTTATGCAAAGTTTTCATCTTTTCTGTTTTGAACCGAGCTACAGATTTTTGCTTTTCACTCTTAAGAGTGTGAAAATTTCTGATTAAACCTAAAGGAAAAAACCGAGTTTATGAAAGACTCTAATGAAAAAGTAATTTCGATCACTCAGCTTCTTTAAAACGAAAAACTTGCACTTTTTCCAAAACAGTAAACTTACGAAAAAAAACTTTTCAAATGTATTTTCTTTCTGTAATGGTATCAATTGTAAGATGCAACAAATAGTAAATATTTGATGCCAAATTTCAGCTAAAAACCTTGGAAGATACTCCGTGGAAGTCTTCCAGTTACTTTCCTTATTTTTGTCGCAAAAAGGTCAATTTTTAGTCTACTGATCAATGTACATTTGTGCTGCTAAAGTGTAGCAGTAAAACCGTCTCAAAATTTGAGCAGTATTTCTGTGAGTTAATTTTTAAAAGTTGAAAAGCAATTGAGGTATTATGTTATTTTAAGTTTGTGCTTATACTCTTAATTGAGGGAATTAGTGCGATTACCATTAGTCTTAAATTGCTTTTCGAGTAATAAGGTTTTTTAAAAATAAGCGATTTAGATGTCTACCATTACAGAAAGTTAAAAAAGATAAAAAAATGCTATCAAGATAGTAAATTCCGAAAAATGAATTTCAAGACATTGGATATGTTGTATCTTTATTACTTCGTTGCATTGCGAGTAATCACGAACAGTCGTAAAATTGAAACCAGGTTTGTTTGAAAGTTGCTCTTGCTGAAGCCGTATGAGTTACCAAGTTGTTCTAGGAACAGCACAAGGATGGAAAATGACGCAGAGGCAGGCATACAGACAGTTTATGTGTGTACGACTTTTATCGGACGGAATCGGCAAGGATTTAGTATTACCTCGAAATGCATTTTTTGCATCTTTCAGCCATGTCATATGCAGAGGATGGCATTGTTAAAGTCTATTAGGGCCTTAGCAAGCGTAAGATAAAACGAGAGAACAGTAAAGTATTGTTTCAAGATGTTAGCAGATAAAAAGCTCAAAGAATGAAAGAATCGTCCTGTTCATCTTATAGTTAACAACTGTAACTATACAGTTGGATCAAATAATGTGTAATAAAAAAAGATATTATACAAGGAATTGTTTGAAATACTTTATTATTTTTGTTTCTGTTTAGGAAAAACATGTTCCGGCCAACTTTTTAACCGCATACAAAAATGATTGCGCATACCGGTGCTAAATGTATAATAGTTATAATAACATACAAAATGCATATAGATAAAATAAAATATCTCTAAATTATTTTTATTAATTGCGCACAGTATCCATTTACAAATATTACTCATTTTGAGAAGTAGATGCCGATATCTGTAAACAAATTGAAAACTTAAATCCCATAATCCAGCTTAATGTAATTGAATTAAATTTTATCGCTAAACAATCTAAATTAAACATGAATTAAATTAAAACAAAATCAATTTGATGCCAATCATTAGTTTTTCCTTGCAAAATCGGAGCCGACATAAAAGCCTTAATAACATCCAGGCAGAGATCAGATTGATGAAGCCACTAAATCAAATCCTTATAGTTAAACAGGTAATATGTAGAACAAGTATTTGCTTTGACTGGCTCAACGAGTCAGTGCTTAATAGGAAATTGCTACCTTGTTACATGTAATTGCGGTACTTAACTTTAGAAGCGGGCTTCAGATATGATGTCTTTTAGAAGTAATTTAATGAAAGTGAATTAAAATAGCAGCCATTTAATACATTCAAATTGAAGATTTAGCACTTGATTAATAGTTTCTAGAATATTGAATTTGGCCAATAAAAATTAGAAGATTTGGACAAATAGTTTTAAATTAAAAAGTCAATTCAGATGATATTAAGTATTATTTCTAAGTTGTCAGCTTGTCCACTTAAAATCATCAGAAATACAATACCTCATTTTCGACTTTTTTAAACCTTGATGAATTCAAATCCAATTTTTTTTTCAAAATTGTCACCTAACCGTTCAGTTGAAAAATGACTAAATAAAACTAAGGTGAATAAGCAGAGAATGTTTAGTATAAAGTAAACTTCAGTTATTGTAAGAATTTGATATAATTTCTACCATTGTTGTTCAGCAAAGAAACCTAGTTTCAGCCTAGATTAAACTCGCAAATGAAAAACACATAAAATTACATCACATTTTCTTTATCACAGCAATATTTGATAAATTTGTCCAGTCAAATTAAACTCGCATTAACTCTTGATTTACTGATCAGTATTATTTCCTGTTTGATTTGCTTAAACTCCATAAAGTTGCAATTTGCTCACAGTTCTTGAATGTTGTGCTCAGTATGTGCAAAAAGCACAAAAAACATAAAAACACTTAGCCTGTATACTTTTACTTCTCGTTTCCTACATATTTACGGCCTCCGTTCGTCATATTTATGATTATTGCCAGCAGGAGATGCAAATGCCGATTGCGAGCAAACCAAATAAACTATTAGAGACCGTCCTATGCAGTTGATTTATTGCTAACTTTTTTAAATTATCATACATTTTTAAAAATCTGTATAAAATCGAGCATTCATAAAATTGAACTCAATTAACCAAGGGATAGTTAGAGGGCAACGTAAACCTATTTTTGATAAGGAAAAATATCTGACTTTTCTGCAGTTGATGAACTCATAATTTTTTAATAACAACTTTGACCATCGATATCAGAAGTCATGTTTTGGGTCAAATAATGGCGATCTGCCACTTTTGAGACACTTTGAATATTAATTTTATTCCGTGACTAAAAGCCCGTTTACACGCTCAAGCCATCTGAACGATTTGGCTTGCGCAAGCCAGATCTGTGCAGATGAACTGAACGAAAATCTGGCGTTTACACGTTCAGTTCGTTTTACACAGATGTGAAGGAAGAGCACCCAAACGTGCATTGTTGCCGACAAGATGGAACATTTGGGCGAAAAGTTAATTCTTGCAACGGCTGCAGTGTGTGTAATCAAAAATAGATGAGCTTAAAAACTAAAATGAAATGGTGTAAACCATGGTTGTTGAACAGGAATTTATTGTATCATACTAATTTACCCAATCACAAATCTGCTGTTTCTCATAAGCCATCGTTTTGCACAGAATATGAGATAGGGCTTCACACAAATTTAATTTAATTTAACACTGAAGT